TCTCTCTAGTGTCCTATGGTATTTGTTGTACACTTAGCTTCACAGAAGATAAACACTCAAAGCTGAAAACTCCAATTTGTCACATTCCTCCAGGTGGTGTCCCCTCTTCCATGTCTGTGCTCAGCCTGAGCATCTGATCCGGTTCGGTCTTCAGCCTCCAGATCATGTGCCCAGCCCTGTGGGTCCGAGCCCCCTGCCTGGCCATTCTCCAAGTGGTTCCAGCACTGTTGGCTTGGCTACCTTATGTCTTTGGCATTTGGACAAGGCCCAGCCATGCTCTTCCAGGGACATTCACTTTTATGTTTCCTTTGAGAAAGTTAGGGACTCCCCAGGTAGGGAAGGATCCCTGTCCTTTCATGCCCACCCCCCATCTGCTGTTGCCTGGGGCTCCAGAGTCATGCAAGGAAGAAGCCAAATTAGGTTGTGTGTGGATTGAAAATGGCCATACTTTTATTCATTTCTGGTAGAATAAAGCATTGCAGTTCCTCCTCCAAATCATGGCACCTGTCACCCTGGGTTACAGTTTCAGGCTTCGTGGGCTAGCCTGGGAGCTCTGGGAGGGCAGGGGGCTGCCTGCCATTGGACAATGTGTGCCCAGTACAGGGCCTGGCACAAAGAAGAGGCTCAATTATTACAGGGGGCACTGACCATGGGGCCGATCCTCTGAATATGGGAACACGAGGGGCATTTGGGTGATAACCAGCAATTGCTCCCCCATTCCCCCCAAAGTCCCCTGGAATCACATCGTGCCTTCCGCCAGTTCCTTTTATTGGAACCAGTCCGTCGATCCTGCCAGCAGCAGGGAAGTTTTCGCTGCCCTTCATTACATCACTAGTGTCCCGGGCGTGGCCTGCTGCCCTTCACCCTATTTCCTCGAAGGTGCCTGCAGAGCCTCACAGAGCGCATGCATTCTCATCCATCCAGCGCCACGCTCTTTCTTCGTTTCTCATGGCAAATCCCATGCCACTTGGTAGACCTTTGGTCACATATGATGAACCAAAACCTCTGGCCAGAACACAACAGAAGTCGGAGGGAGAGAGGCCCCAGCAGTGTAAACAACCCAATAATGGACTGGGAGGCTGGATGGCCCACAGAGAAGGGTGCCCAGAGCTGTCCGCCAAGCCCACTGCCGTTGTCAGGGAGCAGAGTTGAGCCACACTGAGGCCCTGAGAACGAGCAGCTCCTCCGGAAACCGGGGTGGCTGCGGCGGACGCTGAGAGGGGCGGCCCACCCACTGCTATTTCCGAAGGAGCCCGGTGTGGTTACTCAGTGTGCTGGAATTAAGCTCATCTGTAACTTGATAAGTGGGAGCAGCCTCACGTTTTACGGAGTAATTAAGTCTGAGAGAGCAGAACAAGGTGTTTCTGGGCCCCAAGATGCCCCGAGGTGGGACCCCATTCACTCTCTCTCTCCTCTAACACATGTCCCTCGATGCTGAGGCAGGACGGTCCTCACCATGGTCCCGGGAACGCCGCCTGGCCCTGCTGTCTCCAACCCTCAGGACTTCTCCCAGGGCCCAGGCCACTGGCCGAGCCCACAGACACAACAGCCACAGCTCCAGGGAGACGCAAGGCCCAGCCTCCCCTCCACGCTGCTCTCTGGGAGTCAGGCTTGGCGGTGGTTGGATCCCCTTTCCCTCTCTGAGGTTCTGGGGCTCCTAGCAGCCTCTCCCGGTCTTAGTCCAAGCCCTGGTCACTGGTCCCTAGCCCGGCAAGGGCTCACCCAGTACGTCTGAAGGGCCACTCACAGACCAGCTGCCTTAGCGCACGCACATACCAGGAGGGCTTTATGATGCTCTGGGCTTGCCTGTTTGGTCTCCAGCAGAGCACCAGGCCCCACAGCTCTCCTTGTTCCACAGCCTTATCTGAGGACCCTCCAGCCTTGTGCTCCTATAGCCCTCAAGCACTTCGGGAGCAGTTATACTCTGTCTCTGCCCGAGGTTGGGTCTCGGTGTTCCTAGAGCCTGCCCTCAGAAAGGCCCCTGATGGCGGGCAGTGTTGGCCCCGGGAAGGCACATTTCCTCCCGTTGGGACACGAACGGGCTCCCCCGGCACCCCCTCTCCCACAGGGGGCTGGGAGGGAGGGGATGGATGGCTCACTCTGTGCTTGTTACTGTGTATATGCTTACAGATTTTTCTCACTGTTACATAATTGAGGTATTTTTTCCCCTCCTTATTTTAGATCCTGGTGCCATCTGCCCTGCTTTTCATGCATCGCTAGCTCCAGGCTGGAGGTTAGAGCTGGCTTGGCCACCCAGTTCTATCCCTCCCTTGGCAAGAGACTTGGGGTAGTCGGTTTCCTTATGTGTAAAAGGAGATAGTAACCCTCCCCCACCCCGCCTCCCTCCCAGGGCCGCTGCGGGACGCCGGGGAGAGGCAGCGAACTGGCTGTGTAAGGCAGCCAGCACCGCACAGATGTGCCTCCTGTCATCTGGCAGGCTGAGCCTGGTGCCACCCAAGCGGAGGGAGCCTCTGCCTGCTCATGTCTGCCCCTGCAGCAGATGAGCTGCGCAGAGCTTTGTAGAGCCAGGCCCTGTGTGAGATACAGGAAGCGAAGAGGCCTCACAAGTGGGGAGTCTGGCAGACCCCCTGCCACGGGTAGCCGACACACGGCCCCAGGAGCCTGGGGCAGGCAGGGCCAGGCTGGCCTCGCACCTGCTTGCAAGCCTCTTGGCCCCAGGTGGCATGGTAAGCGCCCCCTGTCAGAAGCATCTTGCAGAGAGCTCTCACCCAGCCTCCAGCCACCAAGGACAGTACCCTAGAGATCATGCTCCAACCCAAGGTGGCAGCTGTGGACGCCATTTGTACCCCGCAGAACGGGAGCCCTCTCTCTCCCCTCACCCCCCCACCCCACCCCAAGAAGGGGCAGCTCTCTGCTGACAGGCAAGCAGGGAGGGTCTGGGTGCCAGGTTAGTTCCCAGGGCTGTTGGGGTGAGGTGATGGTGAACAGCACCGCTCAGACTTTTGTCACAGATCCACTGTGACACTGGGTGAGTCACTTTCCCTCTTTGGGTCTGAGTTATGTCATCTGTAAAATGGGAACAACCACCTCTGTTCTGCCTACTTCCACGTCCCTTGGAAGGATCAGAACTAGACCTGCACCCATGTAGTCTCTAGGCCACCAGAGTGAATTTGGTCATTTAATTAGCATCGAGATTATCTGGAAAGGAGGTGCTCTGGGCTTTGCAGTCACTGGGGTAAAAATAAAACTCAGGGCGGCCTGCGGGCCAGCCTAGCAGTCCTGTCCTACTCCCGGAGACCCCCGCAGAGGAAGATGTGGCTTGTTCAGTGCTCAGGAGCTTGCCCCCCCTTCCCTCTAGTTCCCGGATGTCCACACACACGTGTAACTCCAAGTGTTGCATCCGTCCCTCTCTCAAAAAATCGAGCATGGAAACAAAATCTCCCAAGCTGTGGAAATGCGACTCTGAAAGGTCAGCTCTGTGATTCAAAAGGATGTGGCTGTAATGTGAACACGATGGCCATCGGGTGTCCAGCTCTAGGCTCTGGAGGGCTTCAGCCCTGCCGGCCCATCCCCTCATCCCCACAGGCCCTCCTGGCCTCACCTTGCAGACAGGTGGCCGGGCAGGGCGCCCCTGATTGAAGACAAAGGGGACCAAAGCCCGTAAGGCAGGCTGAATTTCCTCCTTGTGAGGCCCCCTGTTCCTTGGCAAGGCCTGAGGCCGGAGGCCAGGCCTGGCTGCCCAGCTCTTCTTCTGCCGTCTCCGGGAGCCAGGCTCCACGTTTATGCCAGGCAGCTACTTGCAGAGCAGGGATTCTGTTTCTAAAGGGGTCTTGCTCTTTGTGCCCGGACTGGAAGGTGGGGATCAGGAACCCTCTGAGACCTCAGGCTTGGGTGGAAGCAACCGGGTCGGGAGCAGAGGCCGCTCGGGCCGCAGCAGAGGCAGAGCGCCCTCTAGCGGCAGGCCTGCCCCTTCCGCCAGTTTGGTTTGCGGGGCTGGCGCGCCGGACCGCCTGCAGCCACCTGGGGGCGGGAGTGGGGTCTGGTTTGGGTCCAAACAGCCAGGCTCTGGACAATTGCAGGGAGAGCAGCATTCAAACCCAAACCCAAGAAGGGATAACACAGACTCTACCTACCAGTGACCTGGCTTCTTAATTAAAAATAAGGCCACAGCAGGCAAGCAAGCATACAGTAAAGGCCCCCCTGAGTGTGTGTGTGTGTGTGTGTGTGTGTGTGTGTGTACACCACATGAGACAGGCAGGCAACCTGGACCTACCCCAGCTGCAGGCTGTGCCATGGCTCCTGCCAAGGACGCAGCATCAACATGGTCCCACCCCAGGCAAAACTAAGCAGACTCATACCAGAAGCAAATCAACCTCTTAGCCAACAAGCACCTCTACACAAGTCCTAAGAGAGGTTGCAGAAATCGCAAATGGAAATTTCCAGAATGTCCCCACCCCTTGGTATTGCTGGCTCTGGGCCACACACACAGGCACCATGGAAATGCAGAGGGGTGCACAGTGGGCACACGGTGTGTCTGGCTCAGGTGAGGGTACAGAGCTCATCACAGGATCCTCAGATAACTGGATCCAGAGCAGCCCTGGAACACACACCGTGAAGCATTTCTACAGTGGTGGCAGAAACACATAACTTGGACCATGTATCAACAACAAACGGTTACTCGTGTATCCTCTTTGGGCCACACATTCTTCATATACAAAAGAAAAAAAAATATCTGTCCTTGTCACGCATGAGGCTGGTTTAAGGATCAAATGAGATAAATTTCTGAACAGTTGTTTGGCTTTAAAACGTAAAGGATTGGGGCGCCTGGGTGGCTCAGATGGTTAAGCGTCTGCCTTCGGCTCAGGTCATGATCTCAGGGTCCTGGGATCGAGTCCCACATCAGGTTCCCTGCTCAGTGCAGAGCCTGCTTCTCCCTCTCCCTCTGCCACTCCCTCTGCTTGTGCTCTTCTGTCTATCTCTCTGTCAAATAAATAAAAATCTTTAAAAAAATAAAATAAATAAATAAATAAATAAATAAATAAAACGTAAAGGATTCATATTGTATTTCATAATACATCTGTGTTTGATATAAATGTGTCTTCCCAAACTCTTTGTATGAAATCAACTTGAGAAAGATGGATGTATCACGTTTGCCCTGAGGTGTAGGGAGCCTGCCCACCACTCTGTTTGCCGACCGAGAAGGCCCAAACCACTCGCCGTGCACCCAAGTAGGGCTGGGCTATCCCCTCTAGTTAATCCTGCAACTGGTGGTAGGTTCTCCTGGGACTGTGGGTAATGCACAAGGTGGTACTCAAGCGGCGACCACACAAGACCCTCCCTCCCTGCACCCCTCTCTCTTCCCTCCCCCCAGGGCTCCCCAACAGAGGCCAGTGGGACCGTCTTCAGTGTATGTAGATCCTGTCGGACACTGCTGCGGGCAAGTGGGTCATGACCTGCATCCGAAGCCACCAGTAATAGTCCATGGGGTGGTAGCGCGTGTAGGGGCTGGCAGAGGTCAGAGCGTGGGTGACAGCACTGATGACCGGGGATGTGTCCGTGGAGCCACTGTTACAGTAGGTCTCCATCTTGGCGATCTTCTCGTCGAAGTACTTCCTGCCGTAGTCCTGGCGCACGACCTCAGGCAGCTCATGCCACATCTTATCGGCGATGGCCTGGATGCGCTCAGGGCTGTAGAGGCTGGTGGCGGCGATGAAGTTGCCAGGTTCCACCACGCTGACCTTGACGCCCAGCGGGTGCATCTCGTAGCGCAGGCAGTCAGAGAAGGCCTCCACCCCGAACTTGGTGATGCAGTATGGGGAGCGGGCCGGGTTGGCCATGCGGCCCAGCATGCTGCTGATGTTGACGACACGGCCTACAAAGGAAGACAGCAAACCCCTGCTCAGAAGGCACTGACTGGTCAGGCAGAGGGCCTGGGGCCTGGCAGGCTTCCAGAGGCCCAGCTGGAACCTGGCCTCCTAGCCCCGACACCCCGAACCTGAACTAGCCAGGGTCAGGGCGCCTTCTAATTCATAATCGAGGCCGGCTCAGGCCCACATGGCCAGATTTTCCCTGACTGTGCCAGGCAGGACAGGGGAAGAGAAATGAGCAGACCTGCATACCAGGCGGGCACAGCATAATGGGCAAACTGCTAGGACCCACTAGGGCTCTCGCTGCAAGCCGGCCGAACCAGGGTTCTGAACCTGATTTTAGGGCTAGAACATGTGGACAGTCTCCGGCACTGGAAGAGAGTGGTGACCTCAAGAGGCTTTCCACAGGTCCGGCCTCAGGTAGTGGGATGGAGGTGGAGCCCTTCCAAGTAAGCCCAAGCGGACCTGGGACCTGCTTGCCCTGGGAGTGCCCTCAGGAAGTGAAGGCACGGCCCCATCCTGGGCGCCACAGGGAGACACCTTTCAGAAACCTCTAAGTTGGAAGTCACTGAAGGGTTGGGGTTTTCTTCTAAAATCCTACAGCTGCTCTCTGGGTTCATTCTATCATTGCTGAAACTTTGGGATAGATCGTGTGGATCATCTCCTTTTGCCATCATTGTTTGCTATCTAGGGAGAACATCTAAATCAGTGACTTCTTTGGCTACCTAACATGGTTTGAGAGTTTTGTCTGTTCTCTAAATTTCTAATCTTGATTATTATTATTTCTATATTTTACACTTTACCACAACTGTCTTATTTTTTAACTGTGGCATAGTAACCCATAGAATGGATATACCAAAACTGACTTAACCATGCCTCTCTCGATAGTTGATGTATATACACACAGCTCTGTGCACAGGGTGGTTATTTCTCTAGATTAGGTCCCCAGAGTGGGATGACTGCTGTAATCTTTTAGCCTTTGAGACAGCTGACCTCTCAGCTGCCCTCCTTTCTGAAAACCACACATCCCTTCCCATCTGGCTGGCCAAGGCACTTCCACTTGCCACCATCCACAAGACCTGCACAGCCCCCGAGAGTCCTGTGCTCAGCCTACCTGGGGTATGGAGGTTGGCTCTGCTGAGACCTCTTTCCATTCTAAGCAAAGACGAAAAGGTGGGGCAGGAGGAAATCCCTTTCCAACTCACCTTTGGCCCTTCGGATGAGGGGGAGAAAGGATTTTGTCATCCTCACTGTGCCCCAAAGGTTCACTTCCGCCACTTCCTTGTAGGTCTCCATGCTGGTGAACTCTACTTCTCCGAAAGTTGAGATGCCCGCATTGTTAACGAGGCCCCACAGGCCTGGACAGGATGGGACAGAACCATGGTCACCACGCACGCTTGGCCTCAGACACCATCAGCCTGCAGCCCATGCCCCTCTTCGCTTTGTCCCTTCTCCCCAAAACTTGCTACTTCTTGTCCAAGGCTCTCGGGACACTTTCTAGAATCACCAAAAATAACAGGAGACAGAGAGGCCTACGGTGCTGGCTGTGACCCTCCCGTAAGTCTAAAACGTCCAATTACTATCTCGCTTCTCCCTGCATGGACTCTCTGGGCCCACCATGACCCAGCCCTGCCAGGTGTCCGCAGCCTGGAGTCCCACCTCGGCTCACTCAGTCCCCCTGGCTCCGTGCAGTCACCTCCCCTCACCCTGCACTGTGTATTCATTTCTGCCTCTGCACCTTCGCTTGCCTTTGACCTCCAGCCAGAAGCCAGGAGAACCTCAGGAGTCTTCCAGGCCAAGTCTTCTCTGGAGGACCAGGGAGGGGACCCAGTGTCCAAGGTCTCACAGCAGTTAGAGGCTCAGCTAAGACTTGACCTCAGGTCGAGCCCCAGTCCTGATCCATCCTGAGACCCTCCTGACCATGACTCCATTCTCGGATCTTCCCCTCTCTGAAGCATGCACTGTTTGCGGTTATCACTGGTGAGCCCCCACGGCCCATGTGTATACACCTGGTCTCTGCAGGTCGAGAACACCCCTCAGCCTTGTGTGGTCCCGGGTGGGGTACAGAGTTGGAGCAAGCGTACACTGAGTACACTTGGGTGGACTATTTCCTGTAAGACCAGCTAGGGGACAGCTGGCTTCTGTACCTGTAGACTCAGGGAACACTGGTGCTAGAAGGATCCTCGGAGCTCTCACGACTACTTTTACAGCCAGGGAAGTAGAGGCCCTGAGGAGGAGGATGGTTTCAGCATGCCCAGCAGGTCAGAGGCAGAGCTGAATGAGGGAAGGAGGCCCCGAGGAGGCCACCTTGCTTTGCAGGACCTCTGAGTTCCATCTGTGGGGTGTGAGGACTGCATGGGCTGCAGCCTCAGGGCACAGCTGTCCTCCTGCCTGTGGGAACCCTGGCCCCGCTTCGCTTTCCAAGTTAATCATGGAAATGAGTTTGTGTAAATGACAGAGTAATTGGTCTCTAGCTGCTTTCCTTCCATGTTACCCAAATTAAAGCTTCAACTGACCTCTGGTGCCTTCTCCTTCAATTATGGAGAATTAAGGACATTTATTAGGGAAGGAAATTGCTGGTTAACAAAGTGCTCATGAAGCTCTCACTCTCACTCCCCACAGCGGCTGAGCTGAAGCCGCAGGCCCTCGGGTCTCACCAGTGACCTCGCGGTGACGTGGCCACCACAGCCACCGCCCTGCAGACCTCCCCGGGGGTCCTCACCCCTCTCTTCTTCCCAGGAAGAGCAGGAGGCCTCCCAAGGCTCCTGCCAAGGCTGACACTTCACCCTCCGCCTTCCAAACCATAAGCCATCACTCCTTGTTCCTTTTTTATGCAACTTCAACCCTTTTCTTACCCCTGGCTCCCTCCCTCCAACATTGTACACATTAGATGCTCAATAAATGTTTGTCAGATGAATGTCTACAAATACCATGTCTCAAGATCCTAAAGAACCTCCTCTTTACCATGTTACATCCTCCCACCACCGTCTGTTCTCCTTCCCTCCACCACCAGGCTTCTGAGAACACAAGCCACACCCTCCAGACCCCATTTCCCTGCCATTCTGGGTTCCAGCCCTGTTGCTGTCCCACAGTGTCTGGAGTGCGACATCCTAAAGATGCCCCATCATCCCTCCCTCCCATCTTCACTCCTCCCCGGTATGAGCACTACTCATGGTTCTTGACACTCATTCCTTCCTTGGCATTAATGATACCCAAGCATCTCTTCCATCCCCCCCCTTCTTCTGCCTGCCCCCTAAATACAGGCATCCGCCAATGTCCTATCCTAGACCACCTTCTCCCAAATTACACTCAATGCCTAGGCAGGCTTGTCTTCTTTATGTTCATGGAAATTTCCAGCTGCTTTGTGTTTGATTCACACGAGACCGTATCACACCTTCAAATACACAGTTGTGTTTTTTTTCCAGCTAAAAACTAATTACATCTGACACTGATATCCAAAAGAGTGTAACTGAACTTGACCTGTGAAAGCACACTGTTCCTGGATTATAGGTCTGCTGACTTGATAAGGAGTAATAGTTTGTGGACCTAGTTGCTCTCTGGAGTCCTCAGCCAAATAAACTCACAGTGAACATTCCTGCTGGTCTGAGGGACGGCTGTTTTCCTGCAACAGCCCCGGCGCAGCCAGACGTCAAGGGTTCCCGTGTACCCCGCGGACTCACGGCTCTCTCCCGACTGCAGTCTCCTCCTGACGGTCACTTTCACCTCAGTGCCCCAAGGTCGCCCTCCCACATACCAGCACGGCGCGTTTCAGCAGCTCCAGCCCACGCCTCACTTTCCTCTTCGCTAACAGACCCCTGGACACTCTCGCTTCTCCCCCATCTGATGAGAACTGTTAATACTACTGGTCAAGATCAAAAGGACAGCGGCCAGGCCCTGGGCTCAGCATTCTGCGTGCATTCATTCAGATGCTAAGTTGTCCCAGGTCTGGAGGGCACAGCTGAGGCTCCAGGAGGTTAAGCACCTTGCTCAATGTCACTCAGCTAATAGGGGGACAGGATGGAATTTGGACCCAGGTCTGTGTGAAGACACAGCCATCATGCTTGGCCCTGTGCTGTTGCTGGCTTCCTCTGCCGTGTCATAAAATCCGTGTCTTCTTTCCTCTTGCCACAGCATTAGGGGGGGTCCTTGTCATCTCCATCCTGTATCGCTGGAGAACTTCTCCCAGGTCTCCCTGTCACAGCCTCTGTCCTCCACCTCCATCCTGGCCGGCCCCTCAGCCAGACTCTCCTCCTCTGTCGGTCACTTCCTGCTCCGGCAATTCCCTCCGCAGGGGTACGTGAGGCCTCCTTTGCCATGCTTCTTGTTCTGCCCTCTGGAAGCCTGAACAACCGGCCACTCCTCTGCCTCGTGGCTTCTCCCGGCTTTGCTCAGCTCCCATCCCTCAGCCTGAGGACAGCTTTTGCTGATATTCTGCCCATGTTCCTGCAGCGGTCAGATCTAGGTGTGAGCACCGGATGTGTGAGCAGGGCACTTTTCCCACTTCACAGATAGGCAAGCTGAGGCCCACACAGGGGAAGGTACAAGCCCAAGGTCAGGCTTCTAGTAAGAGGGTGAAGCCCACAGTAAGTGCAGTCTTCTCACTCGCAGACTGAGGGTGTCCCAGATGTAAGGCAGAGTCTTCCTTCTCCATGGCACAATGTCCCCAGTGCTGTAACCGTTCTGAAGAGGCCCTGCCATGAAGCCACCGACTTACATCTGGCTGGTGTCCAACCACAAACTCCTCCTGCCAGGTCATACCTTCACTGGTGTTCAGCACACTCCCAGGCATACAGCAGGTACTCAATAAGTATCTCCGGACTGTGAGGTTAAGTGGTAGTTTCAATATCAGGCCTGCCGCTTGGCTCACTCAGCCCTTCGCTGGGGTGCGGGTAGGCAGTGTCCAGATGTCCAGCCAGTCCCTCGGAGCTCTGCTGGCGAGTGAGTGCAGGGGCTGGTGGCAGACGGCTCACCGGCTCTAATCAGACAATCCCCTTCATCTCACCCCCCGAGGCTGGCTCCCCTGTTCCACGGAGCCAGGATGAAAGGCACCAAACTCGCCATCAAAACACGCACTCCACTTGTCTCCTGGAAGGATCCTGCCTGGGTAGAGTGAGCCAGAAGTGGCCACCCCCTTAGGGACCCCAAGCTGGTCGGAAAGCCCTAGAAGGGCGCCACCTGGAGTTCAAAGACAGCATTGCCGGAGAAAGGGAGAATGGCAGCCGCTCTACGGGGAAAATGACAGCCCTTGGTGGGGCAGGGGTGCGGGCCACAGGGAAGAAAGAGAGGTGGAGGGGGAAGTGGGGAGAGAGAGACCTGGACAACCACATGTCTGACAAATTTCTCATCTTTTTCAGACCTAAAAAAAATCTTCAAATCTTTTTCCAGAAAATGCAGCATTGGGTAAATGAGGTCATGCTGTGGTTTATCAACCCTCACTGGAATGTGTCATGTGGAAAAAGGCAGCAGGAAAAAGGTTATGCATCGGGGTGGGAGTAGGGTTTGAGCTCAGTCCCAGGGCAGGGGGGTGAGCGCCTCCCCCTTGTGGTTCCACTCAAGCGAACTGGCCGGACCAATACAGGGAATGGAGGTGGTTCTGTCCTGGCGGCAGGGGACCGGGACCAGGGTCCCGAGCAGCCCCCAGCTCTGGTGCAGCCCCACTCTGTGCTCGGGTCTACAGCGGCGGTTTCCTTCCGTGGGCATTTTAAATCACCACAGACCCTCAGGCTGCCACGAGGGGGCTTTATGGCACCGACTGCGGCTGTTTGCCTGCCTCCTGGTTGACGAAGGCGGGCGGGAGGGCCGAGGCAGGCTGTACCTCCTGAGCTGCGAAGCACCCCAGGGGACCCATCGTGCCTTTCCATAATGGGACGGGAGCCCTGGCCCTGCGAAACAGATGTCCAGTGAGTGAGGGAACCCACAGGCCTCTCCTCTGAGAGCAGAGCAGCCTGGGAATGGCCGGCTTTGGAGGTGGGGGCAGCCCTGGGCTGACAAGGGGACGTCAGTGACAGGCTGGCAGCACAGGAGCTCTGAGGCAGCCGCTGGGAGATGGCAGCCTCTCTGCCTGGCTCCTAAATGCTCAACAGAGCCCAGCACCGGCACGTGGTGCCCTCTCCTGCCCCCTCCCTATAGTGCCTGAAGTCACCACTCAGGAGAGCTGCCCCGTCCATCTGTGGGGAGGAGACAACCCTCTCGCCTGGTCTGCCAGGAAGCTCAAAGGTAAACGTCTGAGAGGAAGCAAGTAGCCCAGAATGCACCATGGCTGTGTGCTCCCTGAATGGGGTCTCCTCCCCTCTGTTGAACAGAGCCCCTCCCACCAAGGTCCCTCCATGGGCTGAACTGGGAGAACACCCAAGTCCTTATGTTACCGGAACTTTCTGCAGCATGTGACCCTGTGGGCTACTGGCCCTCAAACTTTCTGTTCCTTTGGCTTCTGGGGGCACAGTACCCAACCTCTCTGCCAACTGCCTCTCCCCTTCTCCAGCCCCTGATTGCTCACGTTCCCAGGAGGCCCACCTTGCATCTTCCCCACTCTAGCCTCACCTCCAGCCCTGGACGTCTGGTCTCCACTAAGACATTCCCGCAGGGCATCCCATGGGCACTCCGCATCCCTCACCCTGCTCCTCCAGTGGGGGGGCACCATGTGTCAGGAGAGGCCTCATGCCCCTCCCTCATCCCCCGCATGCATGCATCACCAAGTCCAGCCAGCCGTGTCTTCCCGTATCTGATCTCTCCTCATCCCCAACACCTGCTGCCCTTGTTCAGGGGTACTCCTGCACTCATGCTCTCCCTCTAAATCCACCTTCCACACTGCTGCCCCAGTCCCCAGACTGACAGGTCATTCCCCTTGGGAAATCTACCGTGGCTCCTGGTTCCCTCAGGAGAGTGGCCATAGACCCCAGGCTCTGCCTGACCTCCCTCCTCAACCCCTCAACCCCCACCACCTCCACCAGAGTTGACCACGGACTTGTCCCCCAGCATACCCTGTGTGCTTCCCACCATTGTTCCTTCTCTCCCCCACTCCTGGAATGGCCTTCCTGCACCCTGCCATGATCTGCTCTCACTAACGGGCTCCCCACCCCACCCAGGGCTGGGCTGTGTCCCTCTGTCACGTGCTGCTTCCTGAGAGGGGGTGTGGAGATCATCTGGGTTAGCCCCACAGTGAACCATGAGGTCTCTGGGAATAAGGACTGTGTCTTGGCCATCTCTGTGTCCCCAACAATTGGCCCGGAGTGGGCATTCAATGAGCATTGTCTGAACTGACCTGCCCCCATGCTCATCTATTCACCACCCCTAGAGATTTTGAAAGCACCTTTGGCTTTATTTCACATTGCCTTCTTGCATGCATGTGTTTAATTTAACCCACTTCCTCCCGCTGTGCAAGAAGAGCTTCAACAACAGGGAAAGCGGCCTTTTGACAGGATACCGGCAAATGGGGGTTAGTGTTTAGGAAAGGTGCCCTCGGAACGGCTGGTGCACTAACCCTGCTGCCCCAACGGGCCCCCTACCTTTCTCAGGGTCCTCCAGGCTCGAGCGGACAGTCTCCACCACTTTCTCCACCTCCTCACTTTTGCAGACATTGAGCTGGACAGTTCTCAGTCGATCACTCTTCAAGCTGTCCAGCTCCTTGACTCCAGCGTCTCCTTTGTCCTGGGGAGGAGAGAGTTGCTGGTCAACCACCTCCTTCCCACCCTGCCTCCAGTCGGAGGACCAGGGCCAAGGCCTTGCCAAAGCCTGGGGCTTACTAACAACTAACAACTGCAGGACGGGGTCTCTGGAGACCCCCTGGGGCTGCTCAAGCGGCAGGTGGTTCTATTCGACCCCAGGACTGATGACAGATCAAGCCAACCCAAGTGCCACACACACAATTCCCCAAGGCCTCATCGGCAGGAGGCTTTCTCTAAGCAAAGGTTGCGAAGTCAGTACCTATCAGGGCTAGGCATGCAGGTGTCTGACACCGGGGCGGGGAATGAAGCACGAGGCTTCCTCTCCCCCCCGCTAGCTGCCGTCCATGTGGCTACACGTGTAACCCAGGCTCGCCAGATACTCAGATGTTTAAGCTAGTAATTAGGAGTTCCCAATTTTTTAAGTGTTAGCAACTTACTCACATTTAAAAAAGAAACACGGTGTAGGCCAAAGCGCATCCACAGGCCACACGTGACTAGGGGGCTGCCAGTTTGTCACCTCTGGTCTAAGCCACGGGCCTGTCACCACCAAGGTGGTCAGAAGCCAGAGCAGGCTCTCATTCCAGTCCCGCCACTACCCAGGCTTTGTGCCCTCAGGTGCAACCCTTAACAGGTGCCCAGTTTTTCCAGCTTAGAAATAAGGACATCGCCACCTGTCCTGACCTGCTCAGGTTAATAGAATGACGGAGTCATCTTTATTAAAAACCTGTTAAACTATACAGTGCTATGTAAATCCAGGTATTATTAAACACGAGAAAGTGTCACTCACTCAGCAAGCATTTCTTGGGCCTCCATTATGTTCCATTATGAGCTAAGAACTTGGAGACACAAAAATAAATAACTCATCCCCCGTTCTCAAGGAGGCACGTTTTTGGGAAGGGGGAGGATGCATAAGTGAACAATATGGGCAGTATTTGCAGCATGAAAGCTTGCAGGAGGGGACACGGCCAGGGCAGGCCTTTCAGGAGCAGTGACAGCCAAGGTCATGGACCAGAAGGGCCCTGGGGATGGGAAATTTCAGGCAGAGGTAAGGCCTCTGCAGGCAGAGCAGGGGCATAAGGAAGCAGTTGCACAGGAGGCTGGGGAGGTGGGCGGGGGTCTTCTTGGGACGCAGTGGTGAGCTGCTAGAGGGCGTGAATAAAAACGAGCATCATTTACTGAGTGTTGACGATGCTTCCCACTGTGCTAAGCACTTGACATGCATTTCTCATTAGTCTGCACACCATGAGACAGGTTCTATTACCATATTTCATCCATTCTATGACCCATATCTTTTCCACCTTAGGGATGAGTACAATGGATGTGAAAATCAAACACCATCAGTTATAATGTAATTGGAAGTGACTTTCTCAGTGGTGCAGGAAACAGGAAGGCATCTAGCAGGAGGACGGCAGGGGCTGCCAGGGGCTGAAGTGAGAGGGAAATGCCTACTCTCAGCCAAGATACAGGTGGTACTGAAGCTAACCTCTCCGGCAAGGCCAAGAGTAGGAAGCACAAGGATGTCCGCATATGTCCACAGTGAAAAGTTCTCTGCGAATTAGGCTGAGCCTGGTTTAAGTGGTCTGAACCAGGAGGACCCCAGGATGAGATGTTTGCATCATGCCATGTCAGAGAGACACAGGAGAGAATGGTGATGGGCCTGTGTCAAATGGGGCCCGAGGTGCTGGAGGTAATCACTCTGGAGAGAGACTTGGGGAGAACATGAGAGCGAGGGAGCAGACTGGTCCCATGCCACCCACAAAACAGAAGCAGGGCCAAGAAGTCAAATTCAGCCCAAGATGAGGAGTGCCTTTCATCGTCCGGAGATGGCGAGACTGCCCGGGAAGAGTTCAGACGGTGAGGGTGGAGGTCGGGGTTGGGGCAGGGTGGGGGACATGGTGTGGAGAAAACCCAGGCATCAGACAGGAGGTCAGGCCAATCCCCAGCCCCCCAAGATCTCTTCCACTCCTAAACAGTCATCCTCTACAGGGAGCCTCCGCAGTGGTCCTGAAGAGAAGCAACACGTGTGGCCCTCTGAGTCTCTGCCCCGCCTGACACCAGGCACGCCAGCTACGCCCGGGGTCCCCTCTGCACAGCTGCCAGGTTTAAGACTCGGTTAGTCCAAGGCTTGGCTCTGAAATCCCTGGAGGTGCCAACCTTCCCGGAAAATAGGCAGGTGTTCTATCTACAGGCCTAGAGCTCCTGCTACAGTTCCCCGAGAGGGTCTGCCAGCAAAGAACTCCCAGGGACGACAGCTTCCAGTCCAGAGGAGGGAAGGGCCGGTGCCCACAGACACCAAGAAATCACGTTATCTTGTTTGAATGCAGTCTTCACGTCGTGCCCCCTCAAGTGCCCCTCAGAGCAGAGCCCAGGTGGTCTGGCTCCCTGAGCGGGTGCTGATGTCTACTTCCAAGAGGACAGGCACCTGAGCATCCTGTCCTCTTCCTGGCCTTTGTGAACCCTGCCACCACCTTTCAGCAACTCTCGGACTCCACACCAGACCTCTCCTTGAGCCTCTAGCCAGCATGGAGCCCATGCCCCCAAAATCCCCAGGGGAGGCTCTTCATCCAGCTCAGGGGGCCCACGTGAATTCAGTTTGGCAACGTGGCAGCTAAGAACCCTTCCTCAGAGGAAACCAGGGGTTCGTCCCATGGCTCACAGCTTCAGACTCAGCATTCAGGATCTCAGGAGAGAAACCCACCTCCTCCCTTCCCGACAGATCTCCCCAGGAGTCCTCATTACTCTGAGCAGCCTCCACATCCTGCTCCTGACGGCCACGTCAGTGGGGACAGAGACTGTCAGTTTGCCTTCAGCTGTTCAGAGAAAACCTTTCCTGACCACCCTCAGCCCAGGGGCTGCAGAACACAGCAGCCGGTCCCCTTCCAGATCCACTTGTCCTCAGTCCAAGGCCACACCGCCTCCCAGGCTCCAGGGTTTCTGTCCTCATCTTCATCTGTCTTGCTGCTCGGGGACAAGCTTTCAGTCCTGCTGTGTCAGTGCCTATGGAACTGGTTTACTGATAAACCCATTTCTTTCCTTACCCCTTTACATTTCATCTGTGAGCTCTCTTTTCTACCCCTGGATGAAATTTTAAGCACTTCTTATAGTGTTTCCACACATTCTCAGATAATAGAGAACCTCTTTGTTTGACTTAAAGAGTCCAGTTCAGTCTACTAATCAACTGACTCAAGCCCAGCCTGGTTTGAAAACCCAAGCCTTCCACCTTGTATGCAATTTAAAGCCTGCCCTGACCCAGACCTAGGGGAGTGTAAGGAAGCCCATAGGACGCCAGATAGGGGTGAAGACTGCCTTTCTCCCTATTTTCTAGCTCCTTCTCACCTGTTCCTTAATCTCTGACCCTTCCAGGGTTGGATCCAGGGGCTGGCAAATTAGGGGGTAACACTGTAGTCTTCTGAGGCTGGTCCTGTTGTCTGCTGTTGGTGACCTGGTATGGCAGGTGCATGAGAGCTGGCCCTCCCTTCTTGTGCTGCTTTTGTGGGTTCCGCAGAGATCCCTCCACTGGACACCTCCAGCTTAGCCTTTTCTCCCTCAGCCCGGGCTTCAGGGAGGCACCCCTCTGGCTGGGAACACATGGGTGTTCCTAGGAGTGTCACTGGATGGGCACCCTTACAATGACCCCAGGAGCTCTCCCCCTCGTCCACATCAGGTCCAGGCAAGAGTGTCTGGCCCGGGCAGAAGGACAGCCCTTTCCTGGTACAGCTCTCTCTGTTCTGCTTCCAGATGAGCCACTCCAGCCCCATTCTTGGGCCTCTAGATATCTTTCGGTAAATATTAACACACCGTTCTGTGGCCTCAGACTCCAGGGCATAAATGGTAAGCTCTCTAATAGTTGTTTTTTTTTAAAAAAGTTTTTTTTTTTAATTCCAATTAGTTAACATCCAGTGTTAAGTAACTCAACCTTCTCCACCTCCATTTCTTACCACACTGAGGCAGGTGACAGACTGAACCTGGCAGCAAGGTTTTATAGACTCTCAGCCTGTCCTGCTAGATGGTCCGGCACCTCAAGGCAGGATGAGGACACTCAGCATGTGAAATGGGAGCATCTCTCACACACACAAGAAACAGTGAAGAGGAATAGACCTGGGGTCTTGTAATAGTCACAGGATGAGCAGTGAGAGCAGCTAGCAAGGAAGGGGAAGAAAAACCAAGAGAGGGGTGTCCAAAAGTCACGAAACAAAGGGTAACATGCAAGAGTGGTTTGTTCGTTAAAGCTGTGATAGGTTCAGTACGATATGGTCTGAGAAGTGGCCAATCGATCTGGCAACATGGGGGCTGCTGACGTCCTCGATAAAAGCCATGTCAGAGGCACCCTGTGTCCCCCTGGTCCGGCCCTGCCTTCCTTTCCCAGCTGGTCTGCTCTTACTCCATGAGGGCTCTGGGCTTCAGCTTCCTCAGACTAAATATGCCATCACCACCCACCACAAGGAACTCCCGTTTGTCCTTCCAGATGGCAATGAGATGCCACCTTGGCCTATCAAGCCTTCCCTTGCACCCAGAGAGAGGCAATCTGTCCCTTCTATGATGCAAGATCTGCCCCCCAACTCCATTCTCCCCCCTCCCTCCCTCACTGCAGCCACAGAGGCCTCCTGCTGTTCTCTGACACAAAGGTACATGCCCTGCTTGGGGCTCTGGCTTGGCTGACTCTTCTTACCCCTTCTATCTGCAAGACTTGCTCCCTAACCCCTTACCTCCTTCCAATATCACTTTCTCGGTAAGGTCTTTCTTTCCTCTTTAAAACCCAACACCCCCTCTACCACATTCACCCTCCATCTCCTTTTCCTGCTTTATTTTTCTCCATAGCTTCAACATCCCATAGGAAAGCAATCTACTTATTTATCTATCTCCTTGTGTGTCTCCCCCCTCCCCCATGTAAGCTCCACAAGGGCAAGAACCTTTCATTGAATTAGTATATGCTATATCTCCAAAGCAGAATATTGTTGGCTCTTGTAGGTACTCAAGAGATATTTGTTGGATGAAAGAACAAATAAACAGAGGGGAGGGGCCCAAAGCCCAATCCATGTGGGTTGAAAGGAAAATGGGAAGTAAATAGGTGAAACTATCTAGTACAAACAACCCTCTGGGGGTGCAGAGAAATGAGCTAGTAGTGCACACAGGATGGGAGGTTGTCAGCGTGTGTGTGTGTGTGTGTGTGTGCGTGCGCGCACGCCAAAATGATCCAGCAGAGAGTAAGGAGTTAATGATGCAGGAGATTACAGACATCTGCTGGAGCCAAGCCCTTGCGCTGGCCCAACGCACTGAGACCTGAGGCACAAGAGGAGGGGTAAGTCTAAGCAAGACCAGTATATCTGGGGTACAGATGTAGCCAGAATCCACCGCGTGGCTTAACGTCTCAGAAGCAGGCTGGAGGACTTAATCTGAGGTCGCCAGTGGCTCTGACTGCTTTCTGATTGGCATCATTAACTCAAACCTCTAGTGACTTCTGCCTCCTCTAGCTTTTGACCAGCAAAGACGTCTACACATGACACCAAAACAGGCAGCAAGTAACACCAACAGACACAATCCGGCAGTCACCTGGTCTGGTATTTTAAAGAGAACACCAGCCACTAAGTCAGGATCATGGCTGTGGGCGTGGGAGGACGTCAGAGCACCCAGTCCAACGCCCTTATTATAAGAAAGGGGCTCAGGGAGGGGAGGTGTCTGCCTAGTCCCTGGGCTAGTGGCCGATACGGGACTAGAATCCACGGCCCTGACTCTCTCTCTCAAAGGCTCCTCCGCACAGCTCTGCACCACGGAGTCGGGACATAGTCCCTGCATCCCTGGACAATCCAGCAGGATGGCACACGCGCTGGAAACATGGAGAAGGAACTTCAAAGGCATGAAATGTTCTGTGGCATCACAGCTCCTGCGAGGACTTGTTGAGGCAGGTCCACATGATGCAGAGAACGCGACTCCAAGCATACCTCACCCATCACCTCCAAATCCGTTTTGGAACAAGTTTTTGCATGCATGTCAGAGGGAGTGGGCACTGGTATAACTTTTGGGAGCAGCCGTTTGACAGACTTGAATAAAACCTAAAATCTGCACACCTTTCTAGCCAGTATTTTCAAAGCTAGAAAATTTTCCTAAGAATTACTAATGAAAACCAGCAAAGATATGTGTAAGAATATTCACTGTGGCTTTGATTATTTTAGCAAAAGTCATAAATAATGTACACACATACATTTTAGTTGCTCTGGGGCAAGAGACTGCAGTAAAAAGACTTTACTTTTTTTACATCATCCACTTCTGTCTGATTTGAAGCTATTATAAATATGTATTACTTTCATGATTCAAAAGAAGAAAAATTAAAAGGACAAATAAACCCTCTCTGATCTGAACATATGTTCAAACCGTGGCAATGCAAATTACTTTATTATTTTTGTTTGTTCATATTATTGAAACTTTTACACTGAACAGGTATTATTTTTACAGATATTAAATCTAGTATAAAAGTAATTCCTTCTCTGGATTCTTACTGCCTTCAAAATAAAGAAAAATATCTCATCTACAGAGCAGAGGCAGCAAATTGTCCTAAACGCCCATTCTTCCCTTCTTCTATAGCAGTAGAACCCCTGATTTTAAGCAGAGTACATAACGTCTCAGAATAGAACTATATTTCCCAGCTTCCCCAGGGAGGGAAATTTCTGAGTGATGCACTGTGGTGAGGTTACACAACTCTCCAGACTGGAAGAACCATCCCCTATTCCTTTTGCAGCCTCATGTCCCAGTGCTTCCCCTCAGACACCCTAAATTCCACTTGATGAATCACAAAGGATCCTCAGTCTCTACCTGGGACAGCATTACTCATTCTCCATGACCCAGAACGAATGTCAACTCTGTCACGCCAGGATCATTCCCTTCCTTCTACGCACTCTCATTAAACACTCCACACAATTCTGAGAACCCTCTTCACTCTAACTCTTCCAGGTGGATCTGTGCATGACTGTCCTTCACCACTGGACAGTGAGCTCCCTAGATGCAGGGACCAGGTAATATTCTTCTACAGTACCTATCAAAGTGGCAGGCACATCATAAGCATTTGGCAAATGAATGAGTGAATGAATGAATGAACAAAGCTATGAAGAACAAGTGAGACTGAAGTGAAGAGAAAAGGTATGGACTGTTTTAAGCAACAGATGAACCAGCTGTTTGGAAAGCAATTAAAAAACAACTACAAATGCTGGCCCAAGTCCAGGGTAGTCCTGGGATTAAATACTCAGCTTGAAGTAGGATTCTGGGAAGATGGTGGAATAGGAAGCAGCAGGAATCACTTTCCCCACCTAGACAAGTGCACTATTTTGGAACTCTGGAGTCTGTTGAAGAGATGAAAGGCATCCAAATTGGAAAGGAAGAAGGAAAATTATGTTTTCAGAAGATAGGATCTTATATGTAGAAAACCCGAAAGATTCCCCCAAGAACTTATTGGAACTAATAAATGAATTCAGCAAAGTAGCAGGATATCAAGTCAACACACAAAAATCAGTTGCATTTTTGTACACAAACAACGCACAACCTGAAAAGGAAATTATAAAATTACAAAAATAATTCTATTTTATTCCATCAAAAAGAATAAAATACTTAGGAATCAACTTAACCAAGGAAGTAAAAGATTTGTACAATGAAACTATGAAACATTTCTGAAAGAAATTAAAGAAGGCAGAAATAAATGGAAACACATCCCACATTCATGGATCAGAAGACTTAATATTGTTAAAACATAGATACGACTGAAAGCAATCTACAGATTGAATCCCATACCTGTCAAAATCTTAATGATGTTTTCTGCAGAAAAACATATCCTAAAATTCATAGGAAATCTCGAGACCCCAAAGAGCCAAAACAATCTTGAAAAAGAAGAACAAATCTGGATGATATAGATTTACTGATTTAAAACTTTCCACAAAGCTACACTAATCAAAATAATCTAGTACTGGCATAAAGACAGACATATGGAACAATGGAATAGAAGAGCGAGCCCAGAAATAAACCTTCACATATATGGTCAAATGATTTTTGACAAGAGTGCCAAGACTATTCAATGGGGAGGAAAGGACAGTATTTTCAACAAATGGTGCTGGGAAAACTGGGTGTCCACATGCAAAAGAAAAAAGTTGGACCCTTACCTAATACCATAGACAAAAATTAATTCCAAATGGATCAAGGGCCTAAGTGTAGGACCCCCAAAAGTAACATGCTTAGAAGAAAACAGGACAAAAGCGTCACAGCTTTGCATTTGGCCATGATTTCTTGGATATGACATCAAAGACACAGGGAACAAAAGAAGAAATTGGCAAATTGGACCTTATAAAAATTTTAAAATTTGGTGCATCAAGAGACACTACCCATGGAATAAAAAAGTAACCTGTAGAATGGGAGAAGATATCTGCAAATCTTATATTTGATAAGGAATTAATACCCAGAATATATAAGCCCTAAAATTCAGCAACAACAATAACAACAAACAATCCAGTTTAAAACTGAGCAAAGAACTTGAATAGACATTTCTCCAAAGAAGATATATGAATGGCCAATAAGCACGTGAAAAGATGCTCAGTATCACTAATCATTAGGGAAATGCAAATCAAAACTACAAGGAGATACTACCTGACAGCATTAAGATGGCCACTGTTAAAAAAAAAAGTATTGGTGAGGATGTGGAAAAATTGGAACCCTTGTGCACTGTTGGTGAGAATGTAAAATGGTGCAGCCACTGTGGAAAACACTATGGCAGTTCCTCAATTAAAAAAAGAATTATCATGTGATCTAGCAATTCCACTTCTGAGTATATACCGAGAAGAATTGAAAGCAGGGTCTCAAAAAGATATTTGTACATCCATATTCGTAGCATCCTTATTCACAATAGCTAAAACCTGGAAGCAACCCAAGTGTCCAACGACAGATGAATGGGTAAGCAAAATGTGATATATACATGTAATGGAATATTATTCAGCCTTAAAAAGGAAACATTCTGTAATATGCTACAATAGGGACAAACTTTGAGGACATTATGCCAAGTGAAATAAGCCAGTCACAAAAAGACAAATACTATAAAATTCTACTTATATGAGGTACTTAGAATAGACAAATTCATAAAGACAGAAATTGTAATGGTGGTTGCCACTGGGTGGACAGAGGGGAAAATGGACAGTTATTGGGTATAGAGTTTCAGTTTTCCAAGATGAAAAGTGTTACGGGGATGGATGGGAGTAATGGTTGTATAACAGTGTGAACGTTACACTTAAAAATGGTTAAGATGGTAGGGGTGCCTGGGTGGCTCAGGTGGTTAAGCGTCTGACTCTTGATTTTGGCTCAGGTCATGATCTCAGGGTCATGAGATCGAGCCTGCCATCGGGCTTGCGCTGAGTGTAGAGCTTTCTCAAGATTCTCTCTCTCTCCCTCTGTCCCTCCCCACCCCACACTCCCTCTCCCTCTCTCTTAAAAAAAAAAAGTGGTTAAGGTAAATTTTATGTTATGTGTATTTTACTACAATTTTTAAAACTCTACAAAACAGAAACTATGTGTAAAGGACAATGGTGACAAAGATGATCCATCTCTTACCTTCATCAAGCAGCCGGCAAACACAAGGAAGCCTTTTGAATGCAGATGCTTGGCCAAGGAGAACCCAAATCCCGAGTCACAGCCTGTGACCAGGACGGCTTTGCTGCCAACCTGTTTTAGAAGGTCAGACCCCACATTAGGAACCCAGGATCCTAAGAGCATGGTGAGCAAGCCTCCTCTGGGCAGTAACAATTAGTGTTTCCTGAAGGGGCCAGTCCTGGCCCTCCCCACCTGCCTCTAGCTATTAGAGAAGCACCATAGTAGAGTGGAAAGTGCTTGGGACTCAGAATCAGGAGATGAGGTTCTAACCCAAATTCTGCCACCAAATGACAATGTTACCTGGGGAAGTCACTTCTCCCTTCTGGACCTCAGGTTCCTCATCTACAACCCTCATCATCACGACACCCATCATCAAGGTATTTATCATTTCTTACCATATGCAAGGCACTGTGCACACATTTTTCTTATTTAATGCCCACAGTTACTCCACACAGTTAAGTATGATCATTACGCCACATTACAAGTGAGGAAACAGATATTTCCGAAATGCCCAAGGTAGTCAGTCCGTGGTAGAGCTGGAACTGAAACCAGGACTGAGAGAACCGGAGTCTAAACTCTTAACCCCCAACTTCATTTGATGGTGGAAGTGGGGTGGTTGAGAGAGTGAGAAAGTGGCTCTGAGCATCCCAGAGGCACTAAAGTCCCCTCTGAGGGTGGCCCAGGGCTGGGGGCCCCTAGGGAAGGGCTGTGACCACCGTACCTGGGCTGCCACTCACCGGCTTCACCTGATCGGAATAAGCACGGCTGATAGGGACCAAAGAGGCGGAGTAAAACATCAGCATGCGCCTGCAGGAGAAAAGGAAGCCGTGAGCAAACGCTGTGCTCCTGCCTGGACCTCGTTCCTGGGGCAAACAACTCAGAGGACCCTCAGCCACCAGTGTGCCCCCCGACTGCTCCCCACCCCAAGCCCCTGAGGACAATCTGCTGGTACTGCTGAGGAAGACAGCCTCTTTCCTCCAGGCTTGCTGAGCTGGGACAAAGTCAGCTCGCAGGTGCAGTGGCCATTTTTGCCTCTGTGTAGGAATCGCCCTCCGGGGATACAGCTTTGTTAACAAAGCCTTCTGCAAATTCAATGCCTTCACCCTGAGGTTTTACGCTGCTTCCTGATACTTTTTTTCTTTCCTTTTTTTTAAAGATTTTATTTATTTATTTATTTGAGAGAGAGAAAAAAAAGCATGAATAGGGGGAGGGGCAGACTGAGAGGGAGAAGCAGACTCCCCACTGACCAGGGAGCCCAATGCGGAGCTCGATCCCAGGACCCTGGGATCATGACCTGAGCTGAAGGCAGACGCTTAACCCACTGAGCCACCCAGGCGCCCCCTGATAGTTTTTTTTCAGTTAAACTTTTATCTTGAAATAATTATGGATTCAAATGCAGTTAAGAAATAACACAGAGATGTCCTGTAACCTTTTACCCAATTTCCCCCAATGGTAATACTTTGCAAAACTATAGCACCATATCACAAGCAGGATATTGACACAGATGCAGTGAAAATACAGAACATTTCCATCACCACAAGGATCCCTCATGTTACCCTTTCATAGCCACACCCACTTCTGTCCCACCCCACATCCTCGTTAACCACTAATCTGCTCTCCATCTCTATAATTTCGTCCTTTCAAGAATGTTATATAAATGGAGTCACACAGTATATAACCTTGCAGGATTGCTTTTTTCACTCAACATAATTCTCTGGAGATTCAATCAGATTGTTGCACGTATCGGTAATTTGTTCTTTTTTTAATTGCTAAATTATATTCCACGGCACAGATATACCACAGTTTGTTTAACCATTCAACTATTTTTGTTTGCTTGTTTTTGTTTTTAAGGAGGCTCCATGCCCAATGTGGGGCTCGAACTCAACCCTGAGCTCAAGAGTCGCGTGCTCTCCCGGCTAAGCCCGTCAGGCACCCCTAACCATTCAACTAGTCAAGGGCATCTGTGCTGTTTCCTGTTTGGAGTTATTACAAATACAGCTGCTATCAACATTCCTGTGAAAGTTTTTGTACACATCTGTCCTCTTGAGTAAGCGCCCAGGGGAGCAATTGCTGGGTCATACGGTAGATGCATATTTAGTTTTTAAGAAACTCTCAAACTGCTTTCCAGAGTGGCTGCAGCATTCTACATTCCCAGCAGCAATGGATGAGTGATCCAGTCTCTCCAGATCCTCACCAGCATTTGGTGATGTCACATTTTTTTTAATTTTAGCCATTCTGATTATGGTGGTTTCAAAGTATATTTCTCAAATGGCTAACGATGTTGAACATCTTTGCATGTGCTTATTTGCCATCTGTATATCCTCTTTGGTAAAATGTCTCTCCGTGTCTTTTGTCCATATTCTTCTTTAAAAAAAATTTTTTTTTTATCTTCAAGTAATCTCCACACCCAGTCTGGGGCTCGATCTTAAAAACCTGAGATCAAGGGTCACAGGCTGTCCTGTCTGAGCCCACCAGGTGCCCCTCTTTTGTCCATATCCTAATTGTATTGTTTGTTCTTTCACTATTGAGTTCTGAGAGTTCTTTACAGGCTTTGGATGCTAGTCCTCTGTTACGTATGCAGGATGCAACTATTTTCTCCTATTCTACAAGTTGTCTTTTCTTCCTCTTCACAAGGTCTTTTGCAGAGGGTAATTGTTTCATTTGGATGAAGTCTGATTTATCAGTGTTTCCTTTTATGGGTCACGCTTTTGGTGTCAAGTTTTAGAACTCTTTGCCTATCCCAGAACCCGAAGATTTTCTCTTGTGTTTTTTCCTAAAAATTTGATAGTGTTATGTTTCACATTTTAAGTCCACAATCTATTTTGAGTTTTGCATACAATGTGAGACTTAGGTCAAAGTTTATTTATTTGCTTATGAATGTCCAATTGCTCCAGGACCTTTTTTTTTGGAAATGTTCTCTTTTCTGCCTTGAATTGCTTTTGCACCTTTGTCAAACATTAGTCGGGCATATATGTGTGGGTCTATTTCTGGATTCTCTCTTATGTTTCATTGAGCTATGTGCTCCCATCTTATTTTTCTTTTTCAAAATTGTTTTTGCTATCCTATCTTCCTTGCCTATTCATATAAATTTTAGAACAATCTTGTCCTTATCTACAAAAATCTGACTGTGATTTTGATAGAAATTGTGCTAAACTCCTATATCAATTTGGAGGAAACTGACATTTTTACTTTTTCGAGTTCTTCAATCCCCCCGAACTTAGTATGGATCTCCATTTATTTAGATCATTGATTTTCTTTCATCGGTACTGTATAGTTTTCTGCATACAAATTCTGTACATTTTTTTTTTTAAGATTTTACCTACTTATTTGACAGAGAGAGACAAGTGAGAGAGGGAACACAAGTGGGGCAGAGTGAGAAGCAGGCTTCCTGCTGAGCAGGGAGCCCGATGAGGGACTCCATCCCAGGACTCTGGGATCATGACCTGAGCCAAAGGCAGATGCTTAACGACTGAGCCACCCAGGCGCCCCAAATCCTGTACATGTTTATTGTATTTATACCTCTGGTATCTCATTTTTTGAGCATTTTAAATGGTATTGTTTTAAATTTTGATATCCTCAAGTTCATTGCTAGAATATAAAAGTAAACTGATTTTTGTGTGTTATCTCGATTCCTGGAGAAACCTATTTTTTCATGGTTTCTATTTTTATGTATTCTGAATTCTATTTGCTAAAATTTTAAGAATTTTTGCATTTATATTCATGAGGAATATTGGTGTAAGGTTCTCTTTTTTTTGTACCGTCTTTGTCTGGCTTGGGAATCAGGGTAATACTACCTTCATAAACTAAACTGGGAAGTGTTAGTGCGGGGTAGGGATGGGAGTTTCGGCCTTTACTAGGTCTCCACTCCTACTCCCTGGCTGCGAGGGGTTGGAGTGCCTCACTACTGCTCCCCACGTGCATGGGAGCATGTGGTCTCATTACTGCTGAGAGGCTGGTCAAGTCCTGACTCTCCCAGACTCCCACCCGAGCAGGCAGGGTGTCTGATTACTGCTGGGTGAGAACAAAAGCTTTCTCGGGCACTACCTCTGCTGGAGGGACTGGGGTACCCCCTACAGCCTGGTGATCGTGGAAGTCGAGGCTCAGCACCGGCTTTTGCAGGTGCAGGTAGGGGTGGGGCCACAGTTTTTCCTGTGGTGTTTGGCTGGAGTACAGCAATTACTGTCCCAAGTTTTCTGTCTTGCTAGGCTGGCCTTTGGGCTAGAGAGAGCAGGCTTCTGCTGGGGCTTTTTGTCCTGAGCTCACTGGCATTTCTGGGTTGCTAGCCTCTTCAGCTCCAGGTGTGGGAGAGATGAAGGGCAAAGTAAACCTCAAGAACTCATCACTGTGTTGTTTCTTGGACCCTGAGGTCCCTAGCTGATCCATCTTCTTCTCTCCATCTTCTAGAGCCTTGTTATGCTTGTTTTATATAACCTGGGGGTTTTAGTTGTATCCGATGGGAGGAATAGAGAAAAGTACATCTACTCCATCTTTCCAGAAGGAGAAGTATTGTGAGGTTTTTTTAAATCTTTTTTTTTTTTTTAATTTTATTTATTTATTTGAGAGGAGAGAGAGAGGGAGCAAAAGGGGGTAGGGGTAGAGGCAGAGGGAGAAGCAGACCCCCAGCTGAGCAGGGAGCCCAACATGGGGCTCGATCCCAAGACCTGAGATCATGACCTGAGCCGAAGGCAGACGCTTAACCGCCTTAGCCATCCAGGTGCTCCAAAGTACTGTTAATTTTTAAATAAATATTAAACCACAAACAATAAATGGAGGTGGTAGGGGCACCTGAGCAGCTGGTAACAGGGGAGAGGAGGTAGGAGATAAACTTGTTTACCGTGTACTATTTTGTACCATTTGAATTTTGTACTATGTGAATATATTACCTATTCAAAACATAAAGTTTTTAAAATATTCATAAAAATGTGTTATCCAGGGGCACCTGGGTGGCTCAGTCGGCCACATTTGAGATGCCACCCCATGCTGGCCCAGCATTAATTCTGGCTTCTTTTCCATCTTACCAGTCTGTGTCCCGTCCATCATGAATCGGCAACAAAAACCAGTAACCCAGCTTTCTGCGGCAAGGAGTCATGATTAAGTAATTTGACAAGCTGACTATAACAAGATGGGGTCTAGGAGGGACAAATGTTATTGACACAGTGCAGCCTGGGAGAAATATGGTCTCACATGGCAGCATATACGAAAACAACGTAGTCTGGTCAACCATGAATCACAAGTGATGTGACTGCCAACAGAATCTGTGTGAGCCAGGGCTGGAAGGGATAAAGGAGCCTCCTCCACTCTGCCCAGATCAGGCTATCCTGGAGTATTACACATCATGCCCAGGCAGGTGGAGCTGAGCACTGGCCTTAAGCCAGCTGGTATGTGCATCCAGGATCCAGGAGGTGGGGAATGCATCAGTAAGTCACCTCTCCTAGGGCAGGGCCAGGGCCTTCTACCAAAGCCAGAAACTCAAAATCCAAGGGCTGTGCAGAGCCAGTAAGCAGGGTGGCTTGCCAGGTCAGAGTCCTTCAGGAGAGCCAGCCTCCATTCCCCCTTCCATGGGATGTGGCCTCTGTGGGAAGGGCCATTTCTTACTCTTTTTCTATGATGTCCTCTACTAGTTGAAGCCCGTTTCCAACCAAGCTTCTGTAGCCCATGGAAATGCTTTTAAGCAAATGGTCCTAAAAGCCTAAATGCATGCTCTCCTAGACAGGCTTATTTATTGGCATTGAAAATGACCATCGATTTTCTAGCTGCTGAGACTTTGCATTTAACCTGACCCTTAATTTCACTCCTCTCAAATATAA